GGTGACAGATATTAGCTGTGACCTCCTGGGATATCGCTTCATCGATCTGATGAGTCACACTTCTAGATTGACTCTTGGCTCTAGGGGTTGGTCCGAGAAGAGGGTGGACAAGTTAATTAAGGAATGTAGAAAATCGTCGTATAAATGATTGATTGGTTACTTCATTACTTTCAAGGAACATTGTAGTAATAGCAGTAGAAAAATGCCATGTGGAATCGCGAGTAAAGCAAATGTTTACTGTAGAAATGCTCTAAATGAAGGTAAATCCCTGTTGCTAACTTGTTCAGTAGTTAACGCGGGTTTGTGTATTATAAGAAAATGCCAAATTAATTAAATAACTATGCATTGTGTTGTGTATGCCTATTATACACACATTATTACCAATTACACGTGAATTATAACAAATCAATATTTACTACGCGGTAAAAAGAAACTGTAGTATTATTCTGAAGGATAAAAACAAAGGAAAGTTAAACTTGCGACTTCAGATGGATATAAGGAAACAATATTAAACTTGTTCCCCAGATGGAGATATTAGATTGATGGATTACCTTCACAACAAGCAGATGCAACTCCAACCATTCCATGGAGTAAGTAAGCTATTGTCGACAACCACCTAACCTTAGAGATCCCCAGAGGGTTGTACACTGTATAGACTTCTCCAGACAATATACTCAGTGTTAGCTCGAGTAGTAAGGGGAGGTGTAAAATCTCATATTCTTTTCCTGGTGAATTCCATCTGTATAAATCTTCTTATTGATTTTAATTTTTTATTTTGTAACTTGCAACAGACTAGAGGTCTTACAATTTAAAACAATTGGCTTACCTATGTTGTTTTGGAAATGTTTTAAAAAAGTGGCGAAATAATTTGAATTTTTTGATCAGTTCAAGTTTTTTAAATGTTCAATTGATTTTGTTGTGCTACATGACGTAGGTTGGTTTGTTTTCTTCCTATGTCAACAACTTAACTCATTAGGTAATCTGTGATCATTAGATTCGTCAAAACATCAAAGCATTTCTAATACTTTAACTACTTTTATACTATAATCGGACACCGTCATTTTAGTTTAAAAATTTCGATGGGTTTGAAAACTTTAATGAATCCAAACCATCAATTTTAAGGTTTGATGATAGTTAGTATGCACTGAGGGCCAATTAGGCTACGTACCGTACTTGAAACCAACATTACCGTACTACCAAACATAACGTAGCTGAAAAAACGTACGTATGACATAATTAAGTAATTTACATAATTTTAACCCGCATCTCTTCATAGATAAACCACTCTTCCATTACACATCTTATATTTCTTAATCCATAACTTCCACAGAGGAATTCCTGCCGTTTGTGTACTCTGCGATGAAGTCGTGAGATTCCGGGTGATTCACCGAAGGGAAGCAACATTTGGCCGAGACGGGGGCTGAGACCCCGACATTAGCACAAAATTGACTCTATGATTGCACAGGCTGAGGACTTTCGCGTCTCTCGCAATTTGCCAAGTCGTTTGACACTGGGGGAAGATCGGATCGCAGGACATATTGTCTACCGCAGTCCCTGTGGTATCGGTATGTGGGGATCTTCGTGATAATACTCTCAATGAGAGGCATTAGTGGAATTCACTTTTATTTATTAACACATATGTACACGTAAGTTTAAAGATGGTTCTCATGCTTCTAGAAGGAGCTCCAAATTTTAATTAGTCCACCAAGATCAATATTATTTTATTCGTAAAAGAGGTTTATATTTAGATTATCTCTAACGCATTAACTTGATGTGATTATTAATTTCTAAATTTGTTATGCCTTCAGTGTTAATTGATTGTCGTGATTACTGCCTTACGGAATTGTTTACTTAAAGTTGTTGTGAGATGATAGTTCTGAATTAGTCCTTTATGATTGTAACACATGGAAAATTCGTTCAATTAACCATTTACTGCCCAATTCGATTTTGGGAGGAATCCATCTTATTTTCCTAACTCAAATTTAAGCAAACAGGTTAGTTCAAGACAGTAGTTTTCTTTGTGTTAACGGCTTTGCTTTAGAATTGTTCACTTGTGTCTACCTAGGCAACATTCTTTATTTGTAATATTTCTGTATTCATCAAAGTTCGTTTGTGACAGATGTAGAGGCTAGGTTAAGTTGAGTCTAAATAGCGATAGTACTTCCCCATTTCCTCTTGCCATCAAATATGAAGATAGGAACTCCCCCTCGATGGAGCAAAGAAGCCTGTTTAGTGTAAGTGGCGTACCTCAGTCATCACTCATCACTCATAGAGGGTAAACAACCTTCGGTAAGTTCCCATTCACATGCAAACGTCATTTCACGATTAGCATTTACAAGAGAGGCTCCGGGACAGCCTCGTAACTCTGTCGTCCGTCCTCAGTCCATCCTTAGTCCATGTAGTCCATCCTCAGTCCATCATTAGTCCATCAGTGGTCCATTAGTGGTCCATCCTTAGTTCATATGTAGTCCATCGTCAGTCCATCATTAGTCCGTTAGTGATCCATCAGTGGTCCATCCCTAGTCCATATGTAGTCCATCATTAGTCCATCAGTTGTCCATCAGTGGTCCATACTTATTTCATGTGTAGTCCAAGCTTAGTCTATCAGTGGTCCATCCTTAGCCCATCAGTGGTCCATCCTTAGTTCATGTGTAGTCCAACTTAATTATCTATGATAATTCAGACATTATCATAATCAACAACAACAACAATTGATTTATTAGGTCTATCAGTGGTTCATCCTTAGTCTATAATGTAGTCCATCAGTGGTCCATCCTTAGTTCATGTGTAGTCCAACTTAATTATCTATGATAATTCAGACATTATCATAATCAACAACAACAACAATTGATTTATTAGGTCTATCAGTGGTTCATCCTTAGTCTATAATGTAGTCCATCAGTGGTCCATCCTTAGTTCATGTGTAGTCCATCCTTAGTCTATCAGTGGTTCATCCTTAGTCTATAATGTAGTCCATCAGTGGTCCTTAGTCAATAGTTTTTTCATCTTTAGTCCATCTGTAGTCCATACGTGGTTAATACATAGTCCAAGGCGCAATCCTAGTTTATCTGTAGTTTATTCCGTTATTAAACCGTCATTAGTTCATGCAGTTTTCATCCATCGTCAACGCTTAGTCAATCCATAATTCATCCCTCTGCCTCTTTTCGATCATTTTATCCTTAGCTCGTTCACGTTCATCAATAGTCTATCGTTCATCCGTTGTCCATCTATAGTTCATCTGTAGATCCGTAGTCCATGTATCGTTCACACTTAGTCCATCCATTCTCCATCCATAATGCACCCATAGTCCCTCCATTTATACCCTACTTAACTTTAAGCTATGTATACTTCAGACTCTGACGCGAGCAGATAACGAGTGTAAAAGGATTCAACTCAGACCTGGTCGTTGTACACACTTTTAGTTTTAAATGTACATTAAAATAAGTGTTGTCATTCCATGTTCGATTTTCTACACATCATAACGCCTACCAATGCCCTCTGCAGACGTAAAACGCACATACATCCAACACAATACACCGACTCTCGGTCACAGAACATAAAGTACGGAGTGAATAATGAACAGTTTTATGTGGCGAGTGAGTTTTCTTTCATTAACTGGATTTATCACCGCATAAACTTTACGGATCATTAATACATTAAAATCGCCAATAAAGTATCCGGAACCAGTGTATTTCCACGGTTAGACACGGCTAGCGGTCCATAACCTACAAGACACGCCATTCTCGCTGCGATCCATAAACTAGAGTGAGGTGAAGCTAAACGCCAAACATGATTTACTACCTCGCAGACTTTCGGCGTAAACATTGCCCGCAAATGGGCTTTTTACGGTTAATCCCCGTAGACGAGAGGGCGCTTACGGTTCATCGATAAGTTCAAAGTATGACATAAAAAATGCATCAGCCGTTATGAGCTTGGAAGAAATCGCTCATTAGTTGGTAATGTATGCAAAGCCGCGATAGCGCCTGAGTGGCTTTAATTGGGGGCTTCTGAGTTCTGACCACTCACTTGAACACTCAGACTATCTGCGGGCCACGCGACACCGGAGTGGGGTCGGTCAACTAAATTGTTCGACCTCGGACAAGATAAGTGCTTAGTCCCCATTAGGTCATCGGTATGAGAAAGCATCTGAATATCATACTGTCACCGGTTAATCTGGCCCATTTCCTTCCACCACTTTCTAAACCGACGAAATGTTTATGGGGTTTGTTCACAACTTTGATAACAAATTAATAAAAATCTGTTTTTCGAATATGTTGTATTACGTAACTATCGGCGTATGCTTTATTTCTATGTAAGAGTCGTATGTTACTCCGCTGGTAAAATACTTGCGGATTGTTGTAAAATTAGTCCTATGTAATAGTAACATGAATTAACTAATTCTTCATCGGGTTTGGGATCAAGCATCCTTGGAGCTTGGAGCTCACTAACCTTCAAGCCAATTACTTATTGAACATTTGCTTCTGATTTCTCTTAGAAAAGTAAAAAAAATGCTCAGCCCTTCAGAAAAGCGTATCTTTTCTTTTATTTGCATAACCATCGATCACAACTTATAGAATTGCCATTTCATAGAATTGCTTGTTTCTATGAAGGAGTTTAAGTGTTAGCCCTTGAGAATGAACTGCTGCATCGCGTCCGAAACGTTTCCCACTACTTCATCACCACTATCTTCATGCGTTCGTCGCCCAAAGACAGGGATTTACTACAAAATGACCATTTGAACAAACCGTCGCAGTATTGATTTTACTTTTATCTTTAGTCCGTTATTCTTATTGTTGACAAATCTCTCTTCTTCTGCAGGCTGAAGAGGTCCTAAAACAGCCTCAGTCCGGTGGGGTTTCGGCTCTCTTAACTGAAACATCACGAAACTAACCTACTCACTACTTTCAGTTGGTGGACAACATAGGACAACTATGACGATTTGTTGGTGTTGCTTTATTATGCTGATGTTTAACAATGTTGACCGATTCCTCTGGTTCCAGTGGGTGGAGGAGAGCTACACCAACTTCGAGAAGGGCATCAACTGGAGATCCTACGTGGTCTGTGACGTGGCCTACAACAACGTCAACAACTGGCTGTGGACGCCCTTCGTCGAGAGAGGCGCAGCTAACCGCATCTACATAGAGATCAAGTTCACCATCCGGGACTGCTCGTTGTTCCCGGGCAACGCGCTCTCCTGCAAGGAGACGTTCTCGTTGTTGTACTACGAGTTCGACGCGGCGACGAGGGAACCTCCTCCCTGGGAGCCGGAGAGCTACAAACTCATAGGTTGGTAGCTCAAAAATATGCTGTATCTGATAGATAAGTTGTTGCTGATAATTTAATTTTTGGGAAATAATTTAATTTATTATTAAATTAAATTCTTCCCCAAAAATTAAATTCGTCCTACCATCACAATATGTTGTAGCTCATAGATATTTTGTAGCTGATAGATAAGTTGTAGCTTTGACGGTTGATCTCAACAGTTTTTGAATCAGAATGGTCATGGTTGAATTGATCCACCGAAAGAGTGCGTTGATATAAATTAGGAATTTCTATCGAACAAGTAATCTTTTTATGAATTAAGAAAGTCAACAGACAGGACGAACCACATCAACTATCACAGTGGCAAAAAATAAGGCAGAAAATAGAGTTTTTAGGCGTTAGAGCATTCTGTGACTGGCTCACTCAACTATGTTTATTTTAATGTAAAATTGGTGACAGCTGGTACATAGAGTTCGTCTACTTCAGTATCCAAAAGTCAATGCTGATTGATAACTTTTGTTCTGAACACGAGATACAAGAGCATTGTGTGATAGCTGATACACAACATGTCAAAGAAGTATAAGATAGTTGGTGTGTTATGAATGCTATACAAGATGAAAATTGCAAATAGCGTAATACCATTGACTATTGGACAGGTCTAAGGTAATACCTAGTATCCAATAGTCATGGTAATACCTACCCAGCTGTCCTCTAAATGTTAAACCACTAGATTAATTTAGTTCCATTATAAACTGTTCGAAGCATCAGAAATTTTTCCTTAAGAGAAATGAGTCGGTAAACTTATACAAAATGTCATTAATTGTATTAAATAGTAAATACAAATCCAATCGCAATAGTGCTTACTATGTTTTACGTTACAATTAATTGTACGCGATAGAATCGTGATGAGAACTTTAACCAACAACAAGAGCCCAACACACAAACACCAAAATACCAAAACTTCAAATGCGATTTAATCTCCGAGATCCAGTTTAAAATAAAACCCAGTTCCAAAGTTGTAAGCCACCCGCGCTCCCCTCCCAAGTTAAACAGATCATATCAAAACTCGTCATAGAGATTAGACAGAGAGACAACAATTTTATTTTATCTCCGTGCCTCTCTGCTTCATTACTCGCTTATTATTGCTCGACTTGTCAACAGAAGTTCAGCTGTAACAATCAGCTGATTTAGATTCGGTATTTAAGGAACAGGAAATACAAATTAGGCTGAGATACGTGAATGAAGGTACGACTGTTCTGTGAAATAATCTTTCTGTGTTTAATTATTGTTGATAAATACGTCGGGTATTGTAAGAGTTTCTAATCTCGTTGGAATAATTGTCTTTTTAATGCACAAGGTACTTTTAAAAATAGTTTGGTACGTCTGCAATAACGGAGTGTTGATTCAAATGCACAAGAGCGTTCAAGCTAAAATCATTGCTTCAATATGCGTTATATTGCAGTGCGCATATAATATCGCGGATACAACAGTATACTATTTCCTCTTCATGCGATTTCGCATACTTTTGAGTAAGTGATATTACAGTCAAGTAGTTTCCGCAATTTAATTTACCACTAAATCTATTGTATTTGTTTGCGAAGATCCATTTTGATTTCAGCCTTTCTTTATCTACATAAAATACTTTGGACAATAGCTTTCAAGAATCGGATTAAATTTAGTTTTAGAGAATAGTATAAAGTATTAAATATTTTGTACTTTAATGGCTTCACCAATGCAACGACCGAGTATTCGAAACATATCTCATATCCAACAGTAGACAAATATCCGTGGAAGATGCAATCAGCTGTTCAGCTGTCCTCCGGCATTCCACAGAAGGAGACTCGATACTGTATCGGCTTCATCGATACTAAAATAAGTGAAACACTACTATCGCTGGACTTCCAGCATGCAAGCGATGCGCCGATAGAGCTCCAGAGAGAATGTAATCGTTACATCGATTGTTGATATGTCATTGTTGAACTATCGAAATTGAAACAATCGAAACAGGGACAATCGAAACGGGGACATCGAAAATATTGGAACACGACTATTGCTGTGACCGTGTAGGGGGGGGGGGGACTCTCTCGTTGTTGTTGTACGATGTATTGTAAAGACAATCAATAGATTACACGCTGGGTAAACAAGCATGGTCGGAATTTGCGTTCGTTGATAAAGAAGGCCTGTAATATCACGAATATTAGAACAGAAACGGTGTGGGTTATAATCACAAACAATGACGTCACTTCACCTGCCCCAATTTCTATCTTTACTAATAGCCGTAACAGCTGATTTGGAATTTTTTCAGTCAACAGTTCAGGAAACGGGTATTTTGTTTAACTTGATCCGATTGCATCAACAATACACAGTAAAATTACAGTTAACGTATCCCTACCGCATTCTCGCTCCACATTTTTAGGTCGAATGCTAAATAAAATATAAAGATTTTGAAGATGAAACTATACAATCAGCCCAGGTACATATTCATAGCTAAGCGTAGAATAGGTTATCCACATCTAAATCGGTAAACACATATCTGAGGGGTCGATAGACTGTATCGATATACCGAATCGCACCGACCGCATCGCATCGTGACTGCGTGGGCGACTGCCTTCCACTCGCGTTTCAAGATAGACGATTGAATTTGTATTACAAGTCGGGTTCGTTAATGGCGAGCCTTTGAATAAACAAACACAGACCCACACACTCTCTTTGTTGCGCCCAATATATGTGGTGTAGATGTAACATTATGCGGACGGGTACACGGGTCTGGTGGCGATTCATCAGTGACGTCACCTGCGCAGTGTCGCCTAGACTGTACCTACTGCGCGTGCGTACATCTACCACATGGTATTGGGCTAGTGGACACATGGTGGGATATCCAGTGACCTAGACGTTACAGAGAGTAGATTTTCGTCTGTCCGGTGACGTTCTGGTTTCATTACCTTATTTTGTGTTGAAAGTGTCACATGCATTGTGCTTTTTACTGTTCTTTGTGTTTTTGTTTACCTATTGTTACTATTATAGTTGCATTTTTTAAAATTTTCAGGAAATGGTCCAAATCCTGTTATTGTTACTTCTGACATTGATCTTTTGAATCGATGGGAATAATGATAATAATTGCCTGTTAAGTATTTTTTTCTGGGGTAGATAGAGCACAACTCTCTGTCAAGACGACTTCTGCTTACTCATGTTGTTCATCCTCGTAGTGGATACTACCTCGGGTTTCCGTGGTGCACATTCTACCTCAAACACATGTAAGATTCTGACAACGCCGACATAAAGTGTGTATTTTAGGCGGGAAAGCTACATGTCATTTACTCGGGATCAGCTGGACCTAGGTGTCTACTCTCTGTAGTATGACCAATTGAAAAGCCCGATGTTCAAGGACAGTTGGGTCTAGTTACGAACTGAAGATTTCGACCTAAGGATGCTACTTCGACTCAGTTACCCAGATAACCCTCATTCACCTTCGAATGTTTGACCCCCTACACAACTCACTAGCCCAACATGTCGTTTTGTCCAAAGCGAGCTCATACAGCAAGACATAAAAGCCCTGGGATCTGTTGATTATGCAAATGTCCACGGCGGCTCGGAGTGGGTTTACTGCCCTAATCAAGCGACCGTTTAATAACTCACTATCTATCACCGCTGTGCTCCAGCTGATTGTATATTTGCATTTCCCGACATTTACATTCCAGGCACCTTGCCACTTCGTCACCGGAGGTCCGCGACTCTCGTAAAACGTCCGGTTTATACTGCAAGGGACGTTTAGCGAAATTAATTTCAGCTGGTTTTTGTGTGCGTTTGTGGTAAATCATGTCCAAAGGATGTCCTACCGAGGACGTTAGGCTAACCGAGAACCTCCAGACACATTCCTTTAAGCCCTAGAAGGCATTATCACGTAGTTAAATGTATTTTTTAAAGATATTTTTTTAGTGCTTTTAGTAAAAAAACTGCGGGTTGAGAGTCAAATTCAATTGTGTTAAAGATACTTGTATTAATGTGATCAATATATACCATACCGAGGGTCTATGTTGTTTTTAAATTAGTTATTTAGTTTAACATGTTCTTCGCCTAACCGTTGTACCATAATTGGATACTATAGAGAAAGATTACTGTATTCGTTTATTGTAGGCAACTTTTTAGTGCAATAGTTGATGAAATGTTTAATGGAGAGTTTTTGTATGCACAGTTTTAAGTGGTAATTACCTAAGAACTTTCTGCTGGAGGAAAAGTTCACTTTAGTAGGCTAGTTATCCAATATTCACTCTTTGCTCCACAATCTCAGATCTTCCTCATTTAACCTGGCTGTCCTCAGGTCGCATTGCTGCTGGGGAGGGAAGGTTCAACACGGCCACAGACAATATCATCAACACTGAGACCAAGTCCATCCCTGTCAACAAGAAGGGGGTCTACTTCGCCTTCAGGGACCAAGGCGCCTGCATATCCCTTCTGGCCATCAAGGTGGGTGTTTAGAACATGTGTTTGTACTCTAGGGTTACATCACCAAAATATAACATCATGAATTCCAACTGTTGGTCAAACATATCTGATAGTGTGTGGGCTCCAAAGTTACATTCGACGGATACGTCAAGTTGTTGCTCTAATCAAACTAAGTCCAATCAATTGCTTGACAAGTTCAGTAACCAGTTGTTTATGTTAAAAAATGCACATGAAGATTTCAAATTTTCAAATATTATCATAGAATGACTTTTGGAATATTTGAAGGTAACTAACTGATCTATGCTCAAAGCTGTAAAGTATCATCAAAAAACCTCTTTATTCACATAAACAAATTTAACAATTAGGCTACTTATTTTTTACTGTATACTTAATATCATCAAGTTTTTTTTCAACTTCTTTTTCGCAAATTGAAATGACTGTTGGGAGTAAAATTAGTGAACAAGTAACTAATCTGATCTATGCAAAAGGTGTGCAGAAAATCTCCAAAATGGGTTTTCCTGTGTTTGGAAAAGCTCAATAACACAAATAAAAACAAATTCATTCTTTATTTACACCACCTTGTTTTTTTTATTTTTTATTATTATTATTTTTTTTATTATTAAACAGTGCATACTTTAAAATATATTGAACTTTGTCATGCTACATTTCCATAATTATAAACTATTATTTTTCTTTATCACTTTAAATTCCTATTTTTCTATGATAAAAAAAAATGTTACTGTGTTGATTTTCAACTATTGTTTCTCTAATTGTTCGCACAGCACCAAAACACATGCTCCTGTTACAGGTGTACTACATCACGTGTCCCGAGGTGACCATCAACTTTGCACATTTTCCGTCCACACCAACCGGTCGAGAAGTCACCCTCATAGAGCAAACTACAGGAACGTGTGTTGATAATGCGGAGGTAACGTACAAAACATACTGTAAAATTAATTTTTATTATGATAGCTGGCTAGTAAAACAGCTGATCTTAGACAATAAGAAGCAAACAGATCATCGCACACCTACACTCAAATTTGGGTTAAAATACACAACTAGGAGGTGTCCCCATCTCAATAATTGATTGAAAAATTAAACGTAAAATTCTACCATCTAACCACTTTAACCAAATAACTTGTTTACCACCACTTATACTTATCTTTATGTATTTGGAAATACATTAGCTTACTGTTTTGCAGGTTATCGACACGCCCACCTACCTGTGCAAAGGAGATGGGAAGTGGTCTCTTCCTACCGGAGGCTGCAAATGCAAGGCAGGGTTTGAACCGGACTTTGAGAAGCAAACGTGTAATGGTGAGTTTTATGTTTAATTTTTAATTTTATCAGTCAAAATATCGGATTATTGCAATTCAAAACCAACAACACCTTAAGCAAAAATGCATGGGTATAAGTTAACGATTCTTTTGATTTAAAGTTTAAGGTTGTGCAGGAATGAACTCATTGCATAACCCATTGTTTTTAGAGACAAAAGTATATTTATTCTGCCATTTATGCATAAAAGGACACTTTAAAAACATATTTGTGTTTAAAAAAGGGTGGAATTATCATCATTGATTTTCAAAAGTCCACTGATCAATATATTTGAACTAATCAAGGATAAATTAACTAGTCAAACCTTACGACTCTCGTAAAGAACGAGAATCAATTGGCAATGCAGAATGACACAAATGAGTAATGTGTCAATTTGGCTCTATTTGTTGCATTGCAAGCTGCAATCAAAGACAGATTTACGACTCATAAAGTCTCAGGAACGGTTGCAGCTCAGGAGGAATTTATATCTTTCCAAGTGTCACATCAATTAAGTTCCTGGCTGGAAGTAGTTTAACGGAGTCTCGCTAAGTAAACTTCATGCACTTTCTAGTTCCTAATGTGATCATTTTGGAATTTATAGAGTAATATTTTTCTGATAAATGGTATGCATAATTTGATTTCTTTTTTCCCTAAGCGTCCTGTTAAAAAGGAGAAATAGTTATTAAAATACTATATGCAAAAGAAATTAACAGAAGTAGGTCATAAGCTATTCGGATGGCAAATTAATTAACCAATTGTTTACGTTTAAAGATTATGTTCTATTAAAATGTGCATTTTTTCAGTAATTATAATAGAAAATTCATAACAGGTTTTTGCTATGTTAATTAATTAGTTAGTTACAGCATTACTATGTGACTTTTAATTAATTGGTTAAATAAAAAGCTCTCTTAAGTTCTTTACTTCATTTACCAGAAATTAGTTAATTGATAAAATGTTTAAATAATCTACTTGAAGTTATGGTAAATAGCCAATGTTGAAACTCATGATACGAAAATAAAATATTCTTAAAATATGTTTAACAATATATGACTTAATTGCAATCAAAACTTGGGTTTGTATATTCCATCAGTTGTTATATCCTAAAATTTGAGATTGCATTTTATCAGATAAACTTCAGAGGTGAAGTATAAAGTTAAATGACTTTTTGCTACTTACATTTTCTATTAAACTGAAGGAAAATGTGATTTAAGAGTGTAATATTAAAAGCGTAACTTTCTCACCAGTTTAATGCAACTGAGATACACTTTATAACTTGGTTATTGTCGGGGTTCAGCTTTAGCCTTTGTTTAAACATTTGATATTTCACATTAGATAGTCTTGTATTTATCTGATAGCTTTTACATTATTCGTTTCCACTAACAATAATTTATCAAAGTGATTCCTTTGTTCTAACACTTTCTTCTAACATTGACAAAATTGTAAAATCTATAAATGTTTGGTGTAAAAAAATGTTCGTTTGAAGTACAGAAATTTGCATGAGTTTTATATTACAAAAATGTTACTTAAATCTTATGTGCACAGTAAGATTTAAAACATTTTACATAAAGTGTTTTAGTGACTTTTTCATGAGCAAGACAATCACACTTAATCCCGTCAGTCCACGGGGCGATTTTGGCACTTCAACTTTTTTAAATGTTTATTTGCATATAATATCTAATGGTCAGATATGTATTTAAAATTAAACTTTCAACGTTCTTTCAATATTCATCCCTATAGTCTTTTCTTATGACCATATTCATCACATTTATTGGCTCCATTACTTTACTCTTAAGGGTAAATAATGAGGCTGGACAATCTCTATACACCACAAAATAGTTCTGGTCATACATTGTTCACTTCTTAGTCCTTTTCTTTTCCAAAATAATTTTCAACAGAACTCTTCCAAGATACCATTTTCCTTTCCCTTTCTGACATTGGAGGGCTTTCATGGTGACCAATTTGTTTAAACTTTCTATTTACATTGGTATCACCACCAATACAACATTCATCCATCCAAATAGTTCCTCATTTGATTTCCTCTCTTTGTATTAATGCCTTTAAAACATTTATTATACATAAATTATTGTATATTTCCATTTCTGCTCAATAACTCTGTGCAACATAGTTCTAACCTCCATGTCTGCTTTACAGTTTGTCCCCCTGGCAAGTACAAGCACAAGACTGGAGATGAACACTGTCAGCCGTGTCCGGCCCACAGTAAAGCCTCGGACTACGGTCTGGCCGAGTGTAGATGCAACTCCGGGTACTACCGATCACCCAAGGACCCCAAGAGCTCTCCGTGCACCCGTAAGTTTGATTTTGATTCTATTTTGGAAATTTTGTTGTATAGGAACGGTCTAAGCTCTGACGTTACGCCCAATAACAAATTGCATGGTTCAGAATTGATCTGGCTTGGTATCGAACGAGCAACATTATTTGATCAACCTATTTGAAGGCAAGCACCATATGCACTCTGCCGCAGGACAATTAATTTGTTTTATCTACATCAAATCAGCGACATGAGTCATTTGTCAAAGTAATTTTGAAATCTTTAAACTGTAATGTCAGGTTCAATCACTTGTGCAAAATCAAACGTAAAGATTTAAAATTTAATTCTCTAGTTTTGCAACAAGTTAGACTTACAACATTATTACGTTTTTATGTCAAAGTTCCTTATGTAATAGTCGAATGACAAAAAAAATTGTACATATGTCTAATATTAGACCGTGATTCGGGAGCGAGCTAGTCTAGTAGTAGAACATGGGACCCAGAGGTTTGGGGTTTAAATCCTGCTGATTACCGCAAACCCTTGTAGAGCTAGACTTAAGTAATGTGTAAAACAGTTCCAAACTAGAGCTTAACATTTCAGGATGTGAATTTGGTACATAACAAAATTAAACCTAAAACAAATGTTTAACACTTTCCAAATATTATGAGTAACGTAAGTAAAACTAACATCACAGGTTGTTAAATCTATAAAATAACAGTAAAATTTTAATTTACTATCAAAATTAAATTATTATACATCGTATTTAATTTAAAAGTGTCAACCATAAACATAAATATAGGCTAATTAAATACCGATTCCATTTTACATTGATCATTCAATGTTGTATGACTCGGTAACAGAGAAGAGAATTGTAACTGGATCATTTGTTTGCCAGTGATGATGTGTATTGCTGTGACAGTTAATTATGAAGGCGCTGAACTAGTGAACTTGTCTCAGCTGATTCCGTTCCCTATCATTGTTCTCGCAACTAATTAAAGTTGAACAAGACTGCAAGTTTTGTTGATTATCGTTCTGCGCCAGACAGATTTGACATTTATAATTAATCCTCATCGATTACCATGACCTCCATAATTGTTTGACTTTTTCTTAAACTAAACGGTAAGGTATTCTATGGAGAGTATGCATACTAATTCGGTTGGGGTAAATTAATTAGAAATCTAAATGAAATTAAATTATAAAAAAATTAATTGTGTACCTTTATTTTCTAGCATATTTAATTCTGGATAGTTTTGTTTATAGTGTTTTTTAAAATAAATTATCACAGAAAATTGCTGGTCCTACCTAATATTTTTTTTATTAATAATAAAATAACTTGGGGAGCGAGCTTGGTCTAGTGGTATAGCGTGGAGTCACCAAGGTTTCAGGTTCAAATCCTGCCAATCACCAATGGATTTTATCAAAGTGATAATACCGCAACCTCTAGGCTCCCGGAAGTAATGTAACGGCAACTTTGGGCCCTGTAGAAAAACAATAAGAAATAATAACTTTTTGAGTAATTTTTTTATTTTTATGTGAAATATATTTGAAATATCTGATTGAGAAATAATAAGAACCCACCCCTTGAATTCTACCATTCATTAAAAAAACTTAATTGGATGTCTCCCCCTTTCTAATTTCTTCAAATAATCCAGTTTTTTCACACAAAAAATGATTTTGAACGCTTCACAAGCAAGTCAAATTTTCTTGATGACAAATTTCAACCATTGTTCAAACCAATCAATTGATCTCCCTGCAACCTTTTTGGAGGCAATTTTTATGTGACCGATGAGCAAATTAAATACAGTTTAATGAAAGGGTTGCAGATGTGGGGTGGACAGACATTAATTGGATTCTTGTAATGTTCGATGACAGGTATTGGTGGGGACGGACACTCATGTCCAATAAATTACACACTCGCTCGGCTCGACACCCTGATTGCTCCGAGGATATTAGGTGTCAAAGTCACAATATCCTCGGATTACATCGGAAACCGATCACAATTACTAAGCTGGGTTAAGAATGTTGGAATCCTTGATATGTGGAAATAACAGAGTTGGAATATTGGTTCATGTGGTCACTAGACTTTCAATTGTCAATTATTGGAATGTCTTCAGTATCCGTTATTTTTCATCTCAATCAAAATAATATTTCAAAGAATTTATCCTTGATACCGATTGATTACTATTTGGCGTTTTTGAGTAAAGGGGCTTCTTCGATAATCTCATAGATTTAATGTTTTTTAAACAGTTAATCCAAAGCAGTGTACCATGAACAATTAATGTTGAAAACCACATTGAACCATATAAGTTAAATAATGTGTTATAATATTATTCTGAAAAAAAAAAAAAACAGTCTTGTCACTGATTCCTAATAAAATAAACTGCTCTTAACTTATTTCCGTATTTTGTGAAGTAGCTCCTTCAAGGAATTACCTAAAAAATTACTTTGCGATTTGCTTACCTACTGGAAAAGAAAATATAAAAATAGAAGACATTTATATACAGTAAACATAATCATTGACTCTCCACGACTCAGTGTTTATTAACATTACAATTAGATTTTAAATGGTTTAAAGCGTAAAATTTTTCTTCAAACTTAAAAAGATACTATCAATAAAATAGGTTTTCTTTGACAAACGCAGATGAAACTCGTGATCATTTGTTGTGCAACTAATTAATCTCGTTCAATCAATTCTGTTTGTTTGTAATTAGAGTCAATTGCTGTAATGAGTTTACCGCATCCTTTGTCAAACATGATGGGTAATTTAATTATTACGTTATATTTTTAATTACGGTATTGGACGGGTTGAAACCGGGCAACTAATGTAATTACCGTGGTTCCTATTGAACGGTATTCGCATTGTACATGGTTTTATGCAGTCCGTTAGACAATATTGATCGAAACACATCATACTCGGACATATTACACGGATATATCGGACATATTACACAGATACGTCGCCTCTGGGGTAGAGCAAATGAGCTGTTGACTGAATGTATCAATATTGCAGACCCCCCTCGGATGTGGATTGGTGTCAGGCTTTAGCTATTGGTCGGACATATTGTCAGGATGGTTTGACTCAGTGATGGGGGAAGTAATTAAAGTTTTTAATTAGTGTCTAATTTAAATTTGACAGATTAGTGTGGGCCCAAAAATTAAGGAAAGATAATTAAATATATTAATAATTTAGCTGTCAGCAATAGTTACGTTTGTTTATCATGCTAAACACTATTTTTATGTTGAATGCTTTGGGATGTTTTTATCGGGAAAGTGAAGTTAAAATTAAATGTGTCATCATATTACTCTATTGAGTTGACTAAATGTTGTTTTTGTTTACACCAGTGTCATTTGAATGAAGCAATTAGAAACCTTTTTTAAAGGAAATTTTCCAAAAATATAATTTGTTTTTGGATATGGTAGGAATTAAACCCATCCCTTTTGTACCAAAGTCCTAAATGCCAACCAATAGCAACTCAACAAAAAATTTTTCTCTCTTGACCCGTGCTTTTTTAGTTAGTGGATATATTTCATTGAGTTCAAAATATTAATTTAAATTATTGTAACAAAATTGATACTGTAATTTTTTTAACTTTAAACAAAGTATGTTTTTGTAAAGTAATTACATTGTAAAGTAAATAAATTTTTACATTCTACATACTGGATTACAAATAAAAAAAAACCCCTAATATATACTAAATTAAAAAAGCTTTGAATAAAAATTTGTTTGTGCTCGCTGTACTAAATGAAGTTAGAAATTGTATCAATAGACTTACAAAACCCCAAATAAATTACACCATACAGCAAAAACATTCAATCTTTATAAAATATGTTCAACAATTAGGTACCTGTTGTTCTTAGGATTTAGAGTTCAAACTGGCACAGGAGACACACAAAAACACTACACAAATATTCTTAGTTTAGTTTTAAGTGAAAAATGTAGTGTTTCGTGTCAGTTTAGAATCTTTCCCAAGCCTTCTATTGTCACTAAAAATCCTAAACATGTACTTCCTTAAGCTTTGAGTTACATCGTTAACCTCAATTAGGTAGGTTTGTAATGATTAGGTTAGTTAAGCTTGCTGATGTGGTTGTTCAGCCAAGTAACGCAGTAACCATGTTGTAAGGTGAGAAGTATGTGTAATGCAACATTTGCAGCATGTTTACAAGCCAAGTGTGTTGTGTGTAGGATGTGAGTTAATGCTGAGCCATTGTAGAGCTAGGCTGGGTGTTGGCTTCTGTACAATGAATGTCAGCTCCTGTCTTACATAACCTAACAAGTAACAAGCAAGTAGCTGCTTGCAAATCTACCTGTCATTCCAAGGACTCACTGTGGTCTGCTGTCTAAGTGGTCATTGAAGAATTCAGATTCTTGGTTTTTTGAGAAAGTTTGTGTGTGATAGCTGTTTAATTTAAGAACTGGGAGAATGGGAAGGACAGCTATGATTGATTTAGACCCCAGTGTTAGTTAATTGTCATTTGGTTCTCAATTAATTTTGATATTTTAAGCAGCTTGTTTATATTTGTCGTTGTTGTTGTATAGTTTAAGACAACTTTTACTATACAAAGTACGTTGTAGTTGTAGTAGTATGGTCCATTATATACAAAAATTTAAAATGTCCAAAAAATATATCGATTACATAAATCAAATGTTTTGTTTAGTGTCAATTTTTGAAAAGATAAATATTTTCCAAAAATTAATGAAATAATATCTTTTTAAGTCGTAGGTCCAATTTGAGGTTCTATAGTGTCATCGATTATATGATAAAATACAAATAAAGCATATAAGAGCAATTGGTGGGTAACCAAAGAGTTTTATATAACTAAAAAAGCTGCAACCTCCTTTAAGTTTAGCCTGAAGTAATGTAGACAACAATTCCGTGCTAGAACCTAGAAAAAGAGGAACAAATTGTTTAAAAATGTTGAGTTATTTAAACAAATCTAAAATTGAGGAAATATGTATCAGAAATGAAGTTTCTGTTCAATACTACACCTACGTCTACTTCCATAGTTTAGTTTTTTCTGTAAGAAATAAGTTAAACAG